ATTTGATTATGTAAATCTGGATGGGATACAGAATTTGTGGCTATGTTGCTTGATTCAAGAATGATCTTTATTGTCTTGTGGTCTTTTTTTAATTGGTCAAATCATGTGGATAAATTAAGAAATCCATGACTGACTGAGCCATTACCTTCCTAGTGTTGCTTAGAGGGAATTCTAGATATGACAAACCTGCCTCCAGTCAGGCTGGGTTTTGAATTACATCTGTGCTTTCTTTGTTGTAGCTCCAAGTTACTGGTTTTCACAATATGGGTTCTTTCTTGTAAGAGTTCTACATGAAACTCGGTAAATAAAATAAGATATCAGTAGAGGTTAAAAGAGGCTAAGAATATAGTAAAGTGGTAGAATGTGTTTAAGTATGCCTAAGGTCCTGGGTTCAGTCTTTACCATGAAACAAACAAACAAAATAAAAAGGAAGGTATTAGAATTATGGGGGAAGTAGTTTGGAGATGCTTGTTACATTGTGTACTTCAGATCATACTTGAATCTAGTTTTTGAAACTGACCATTGCTTAGTAAATCTATCTGATTCATGATACTGAATTATACCCCAGCATGCATAGTTATTTGAAGAAATACTAGGCTTATTATACCTCACTTTCCATGGGGACATCTGAACTAACATTTGGTGTATTTCCTAATACTGCTTGCTGTCTTAAGACCTTTCTCCTGACTATCCTTTAGATTTGGATCATTGTCTCTTTTAATGTCTTAGGTACAGGAGTGATGACATGATCTTTAGATGTTAGAAACTTTAGTGCTGGTCACTATTATGCTATTTGAATGACCATGATGGATATGCTTAGTGAAGAGGAAGATGCTCCTTTGTCAAGGCTTATCAAGCTTATTCCATTAACTCTGTCTTTTTCCTGTGGTAGGATATGACATATTCTCCCAAGTTCTCAGTGCACAGCCCAAATATGTAAGAAGTATCAGCCCCTAGTGTCCTCAATGAGAAAAATGGGCAGCACTAATATTAATTTGTTAATTTGTTCAAGATAAAACTAGAATTTTATAAATTGATTTAAAAGACATCTGTGAGCTTACAGCTAAATAAACTTCACAACATTTCTTCTGGACTAAGTAACTGCAAATACCCTCATAATAATTTCATACTCAGTAGATAAGATTTATTACTTTTGGACATGAAAACAAATTTATCTTTGATCTGCATTTCGTGCTCCTTGCTATATCTCACCTTCCCTGCTTGTTCTGGATGATATTGCCATCTGTTTGTCCTTGTTGGTTATGGTGCTGTGAGATGTCTTGGGAATTTAAGCATGCCATCTGTATAGAGGCTCTAAGGATGAACTTGGTCAGCAGGGATATGAGTCAGTGGAAGACAGAAAATACAAATTCTTAAGATTGTATGTGGCCCAGAGGAAGGTTATATAGAGTAATAGGGCTCTAGCAGGGTCCTGGGCATCTCCTTTTCTATTTTCTTATCTGAATTTGCAACTCTAGCTAGTGGGACATGCTATTGTAGTAATTTTAGGAGAATGAAGATCTTTTTCTAAAAAAAGAACTATAAGAAATAGCACTATTCCAAAAGCTAGAGAGCTGCACATTTAATTTATATCTTTCTTCTGTGATAATAGTAGAGCCATTTGGCACTTCTGACCATATCAACATGCTTATTTTATTGATGTTTACCTGCTTTTAAAGTCTTACCAGGTGCTTAAATGACCTCAAATACAAATTTGCACTATTAAAATAGTTTTGCTGCTCTAAGAATATAATTTCGTCACTGGGGGAAAAAAAAACCCTGTATGTGAAAGTTATAATTTCCAATTTTTGTTTTAGATGTTTATTTAAGTTGTGTTACATTCAGATAGAGTAAAAATAGAAATAGTTCAAAGATATTTTGTATTAGAAAGAGATGTGAATTGCTTTTCAAGAATGACAGGTATGCTTTTTTTTTTTTTTTTTTTTTTTTTTTTTTTTTAACCAGGGGATGTGTTCACTAAACATGGTTAATAAAATAGTGATCAATGAAAACCTCACAATGGCCATAATAAAGAAAACTATGATTTTGTAGAACTTCCCTATATTTGATTGTAAATGAAACCTCTTTAATCATGAGATGACTTTTTAAAGTGTTCTGTGGTCTCTTATGGACATGTCACCTACTATTTGAGTAAGAGAAAAGAAAGAAGAAAAGGATAAAGGCTTGTGCTGCCCAAGCTAGTATCACTCCTACTCAGCTTAAATTTAAGATGTAAATAAGTGAACATTTCTTAGAAACCAGTGCGTGAGTTCCCTGGTTGAACATCTGAGCATGGTGAGTGTTGTTTCGGTTCTTACTGATGTGTTCAGCTTTTCAAGGTTTTGCTCCCTTGTTGAAAATGGTAGAAACCCTTCCCATGCTACTGTTCTGATTTCCCATAAGAATTGTGTTCTGGTAGTGACTGTGTTACTACTAGCTTTATACTAGTCATTATCCTTAGATATTCTCTAACTTTAGTTATTCATCAACATCCTGAGTTAAGTCATCAACTTGAATATACTGATAATATAGGTTTGTACTTGTAGTTAATTCTCCTTTGGGAGTACCGTTAGGCCTCTTGAATTGGTTTAGTTTGTAAAGTGCTCACTGAGATAACTGTTACAACTCAAACCTTATAACTTTACATAGTTACTGAGTTATGCTTGCTCAGTCCAACATCATTTCCGTAGAATCCCACAGCTGGCTGCTGCTCACCTCTACCCAGTGTTTCTTGAACAGAGTGAGAATGTAAGGATGTATTAATCTAGTGCAGAGTCCATGTACAGTGGTGTCACGTTGGCTCCGAAGCCATCAGTGGTGGTGTTCCTTTTTGTTCAGAGTGAACTGTGTACAGTGTTGCCGGAGCCTTAAGCTGCCCAGGAGCTGTCCCTATATTCTAGTTGCTCACAGGGCTGTCACCAGGCATTTCAGCTGAGCCTCAGCACTATGGAGCAGCACTCATACTTTCGTTAGCTATGGTCAGGTTTTGGAAACCTGCTTCTAGAAGTTAGACAAGACTGTGAACTGTTGTGGTTTTAACTGTAATGTTCCTTTTTTAGACTTAGATAAACTTTGTAAAAAACCTAGGAATATAGAATTTAAAATTATATGCTCTAATCTTGTGTGTTAGTATAGTTATATTATATATATATATATACTAAATATTACATATATATATATATATATGAATAGTGAGAATTCATAAACTACTACATAGAAATCTCAACCAAAGGGTAGTCTTGAGTTTTTTTCTCTCTTTTTTTAAAAAAATTAATTATCAGCTTTTTGTTTTAAATTCTGATATATGGAAATAATAATTCTTTTAAAATCACATTCACTATTTTTACAACCACACATTAAAATTGTATTGTTAAAATAAAAATAAATGCCAATTCAAATAATTACTGATTATTAGTTAAAATTATCCTTGCCATGTTTGTTTGTGTTTTGAACAAGCACAAATCACATGTCTATTTTAGACTTTTCACAGGTATCCTTCTGCAGCAAGATGTTGAGTTAGAAGCAAAGTTATTCTCAAACTATGAAAATGAGAGAATAAGAGTGAAAGAAGGAAACTGTTCTCACCTCTAAGGGTGCTAGTTGTCTTTTCTGTCTCAAATCCTTTTATTTTTATTTCTATGACAGTGATATTCAATGTAACATTCTAAATCAAAGTCAAGACATTTCCTTTTATATGAAACACTGTAGCTAGCAAGGTATGCATTTTAATTAAATACATTAAAAAATTTATTTGGAGTATATGGGATGGATGCCTGGTGTAGTGTCAAAACATAAAACTGAGAGAACCCACTTCTGTTCTTTAACTGCTTGTTCTCGTGTCACATGGAATACTCTTTTGTATCTCTGCCTCTGGCTTCTCTTCTGTAAAATGGGCTCAAGAATTTAATTGACTGCCTTCACCCCTTGCAAGAACATTGAGGACAGATACCTTGAAGTCTTGGAGGACAAATTGCTACCTTGTGTATTTTTTGATACTAACTTACCTTGTAAGTATGTGCTTTGTGTTGTGTACAGTGACAAAGTGTGACATTGTGAACTTTTTTATAAGAATAAAAGTTCTTTGCATGCTTTAATGTTAAACTGTACTTCCGTTATTACTGTTTTATTTTTCTGAACTTGATTCTATCTTAGTAGTATGCAGTAGGGAATGCTCATCTAAAGCCTATGCATTTTATAGTGTTCTGGGTGGGAGGTGGAGTATAGATGTTTTCTGACAGTCTTAGAAATGTGCAGAGTTGTACAGTTTATTAGGTCTCTGCCTCAGGTCTGCACTGTACAGAAGACTGTCTTTTCAGCTTAGGAACAGGCTAAAGGAGCCCTCTGTTTCTCCATATTAGGGTTTCCCCACAAATTTCTGCTGACCTGCATGCCAAATCACTAATAGAAAGCCAGGGAGAGCTTCCTGTTTTTAATGTAGAGGAAGTTCAGTGAAAGAAGACCCCAGTCAGTATTTGAAAGGCTTGGAATCTCATCTCTATGCTCCCCATACTGGTCCTCACCTTTTATATTTATTTATTTATTTTTAAATCTCAGACGGTTTTCCATCACAGTCTAGTGACTGAAGTTGCTAGGTAGTTAAGACTGTTGTTGCATTGGTTGCTAGAGCCCATACAATTCTGAGATGATGGTTAAAAATATATGTTGTGAAGCTGCCTGTAATCATTCATATGAAAACTTCTATACTCTATGGTTTTCTTTGTATTTGCATGTGAGCATAATTCTCAGAGCCTAAGAGCATTGTTGTGTAACCCCTGCAATCATCAGTGAATGTGTGATCCAGAGTCCTGTGCCCTTAAAAGAATTCCTGAGTGCTTTTTGTTAAGTGTTCTGTGATCAAACTTAATTATAAAGTAAAAGAAACAATTTTCCTGTCTGGTTAATATTGTGAAGTTTGGTAATTTTCAGTGCTCTGACAAAGGTTTTACTCAAGTTTCTAAATCTATTTTGTTTGCATGACATCTGTTATCATTCTTTTCCAGAGAATACGGTCAACCGTGGATGAAAAAGAACAAAAACAACTTCTCATGGATTTGGATGTAGTAATGCGGAGTAGTGATTGCCCATACATTGTTCAGTTCTATGGTGCACTCTTCAGAGAGGTAAGGGTAAACTGTTGGGGTTTCAGCTGATAAATGAATATCTAATTTGAATGTGTAAGAAATGGGCAGGATAAAGTTCTGATCTTCAGCAAAGTGACCCATTAACAAGGAAGTTATCTCCCGTTATTATAGTACAGAGCCATCCAAGTTAACCTATAGGTTATTCTGCTTAGGATCGCTTTGGCTACTCATTTGTATGCTTTTGTTTTGCTTTTCTTACTAGTTGTAGAGAGGAATGCCAGTGAAATTTGGGCTCACAGCTTCTCATACATTAAAGGATGATTATCATCAACAGAAATGTGAAGTTTTGTATATTTATAGTTGCTACTTCTGATTTCCATAGGTTTTATGTAAAGAGTGTGACACATCTGTGTGTCAGTACTTCAATGTAGATTTTTAAAAATCAATGCTTAATTTTTTTTTTTTTTTGGTTAGTAATGAGTGTCATGGTGACATTTTTAGTTTTTAAAAATAAAATTAAAATAGGCATATCACTTTCCCCCTTTCCTTCCTGTAGCCCCCATTGTGTACATATTATGTTACTCTTCATTCTTATTTGCCCCACCCATCTTCCCTTCCTTGTTTTTCTTTGTCTCTGTCTTAGGTGGGCTTTTCTTTATTACTGTGAAGGGACACCATAACCATGGCATCTCTTACAAAGAAAACATTTAATTGAGGTGGTAACTTACAATTTCAGAGGTTCAGTCCATTGTCATCACAATGTTGGGAGCATGTTGGCATGCAGGCAGATGTGGTGCTGGCTACATCTTGACCAGAAGGCAGCAGGGAGTCAACCGACTGTCTCGCTGAGGGAATTTTGAGCAAAACAGACCTCAAAGCCTGTCCCCCACAGTGACACACTTCCTCCAACACCTCCTAACAATGCCATTCCTTTTGGGGACCAATTTCTTTCAAACTACCACACTCCCTCTTGCTGAACACCTTCCATTTTCTTCTAATGGTCAGCTTTTCTGCTCTCATGTCAGTGTTTTAATACACCTTATTTACTCTCTCCTTCAGACCTCTTCCTTCCCCCAGTTCCTTTTCTAATTTCATACCCCCCCTCTCTGTGTGTGTGTGTGTGTGTGTGTGTGTGTGTGTATACATGCGCATATACATATATATGTATGTGTATATATGTATATATATATATATGTCTCTGTGTTTGTGTGTGTGTGTTTACATATGTATTATAGTATGCATGTGGCAGAAAATATGTAGTATTTATCTTTCTGAAATCTGGCTCATTTTGCTTCATATGATTATTTTCTGTCTCATCCATTTTTTTTTTTCTGCAGCAGATGTAATTTCATTCTGTACAAAGGAGTGAAATTCCATTGTATATATGTACCACATTTTAAAAAGTCCATTCTTCTGTTGGTAGACATCAAGGCTTGTTCCATACTTTGACTGTTGTGAATGTGTTAGCATCTCCAATGGGATGATTAAGATCTTCAGATGTGTACCTGGGAGTGGTTATGGCTGGATCATGTGATAGTTCTACTTGTAGTGTTTTTGAGGAGTGTCTCTACTGATTTTCATAATGACTGTACAAGTTTACACTCCTACCGGCAGTTTTCAAGGTTGCTCTCTTTCTATGTCTCCATTGGCATTTGTTTTCTTCATGAGAGCCATTTTGATGAGGTGGGATGCAATCTCAAAGCAGTTTTAATTTGTGTTTTCTTGACGGATAAGCATTTTGAAAATCACTTTCAAATGTTTCTTGGACATTTGTATTTCTTCCTTTGATAATTATCTATTCATTAGCTTACTTATTGATTGGATGATCAGGTTTTGTCAGTTACATCACAGGAAAGACTTTACCCCATTCTATAGAAAGTTACTTTGCTCTGTTCATAGTTTTCTTTGGTGTTTAGAACTTTTTTTAATTTCATGGAATCCCATTTTTCAGTTTTAGGATTGCTTCTGTGCCATTGGAGTCCTTGTTAAAAAGACCTTGGCTGCCTGCCCCTCTGCCTGGAATGTTGTGCTTGTTTTCCTCTAGCACCTATAGGTCTTAGATTAAGTCTTTGTGTGTGTGTGTGTGTGTGTGTGTGTGTGTGTGTGTGTGTGGAATGTAAGATATGGACCTAGTTTCTTTCTTTTACATTCATTACCCAGTTAACCAGCCTTATTTGTTGAAGAGGCTTTTTTTTTTTTTTTTTTTTTTTTTTTTGTAATTTTACTTTTTAACAAATTTGTCTAAGGTTTTATGGCTGTAGCTTTGTGGATTTATTTCTGGGTCCTATCTTGTATATCTTTGGTCTCAGTGTAGTACCACTACTATTTTTGCCATTGTGTCTCTGCTGGGATAGTTTTAGATCAGATATTATGATGCCTCCAGCATAGTTTCTTTTTATTATTGCTTATTCATTTGTTTGGTTATTTGATCTGCTTTTCTTACTAGTTCTGTGTGGAATCCCACTGAGATTTGGATGGGACTGTCTTGGTTAGGGTTATTATTGCTGTGATGAAACACCATGACCAAAAACCAACTTGGAAAGGAAAGGATTTAATTTCATTCACAGTTCTACATAATAGTTCATCATCAAAACCAGTGAGATCAGGAGCTTAAGAAGGGCAGGAACTAATACAGAGGCCACGAGGGGTGCTGCTTCATACTGGCTTGCTTCCCATGGCCTGCTTAGCCTGCTTTCTTACAGAACCCAGGACTTCCAGCTTGCGGTAGCCCCACCCACAATAGGCTGGGCCCTCCCTGATCAGTTATTAATGTAAAAAATACCCTGTAGCCTTGTCTACTGCCCAATCATACAGGCATTAACTCAATTGAGGTTCCCTCTTCTCTGATGACTCTAGCTTGTATCAAGATGATATAAAACTATCCGGAACAGGAACTGTACTGAGCTTGTAGGTTGTTTTGGAACTTTTTATCTTCAGTTATCACAATGTTAATTCTGCCCATTAATGTGCCTTAGAGATCTTTCCATCTTCTAGTATATTCTTCAGTTTCTTTTTTCCAGGCTTTACAGTTTTATCCTTTTTGTTAGGGTTTTGCTAGGTATTTTATTATTTACTTTTTGAAATTGATTAAAAAAAGGGGGGGTGTTTTGTTTTGTTTGTTTGTTTGTTTGTTTTATTTTGTTCCCAATTTCTTTCTGAGCAAGTTCATTGGTGCTACATGAAAAGGCCACTAAGTTTTACATTCATAGTAGATATAGAATACAGTTTATGTCTTAGTTACTTTTCTGTTGCTATGAAGAGAAACCATGACCAAGGCAACTTATAGAAGAAAGAGTTTATTGAGGCTTACAGTTTCAGAGGGCTAGAGTCAGTGACTGTTATAGCAATAAGCAGAAGGCAAAGAGAGCTAACTGGGAATGGCATGAGCTTTTGAAACCACAAAGCCCACCCCCAGTGTCATACTTCCTCCAACAAGGTCACACTGCCTAATCCTTCCCAAACATTTCTACTAACTGGGGACCAAGTGTTCAAATATCTGAGCCTATGGGGACATTCTCATTCAAACCACAACTACTTTACTGTGATTACCCATCTAGAGTTTTCTGGTGGAGTTTGTAGGGTCTTTCAAGATCAGGATTATGTCAGCCAGTCATGATGGTACATGCCTTTAATTCCAGCACTTGGGAGGCAGAGGCAGGTCTCTTTGAGTTTGAGGCCAATCTGGTCTACAAATTAAGTCTTAGGACAGACAGGGCTGCAAAAAAAAAAAGAGGGGGGGGAGGTATTATGCCATTTGTAAATAGGGATTGTTTGACTTCTTCCTTTAGTATCTGTATCCGTTTACATTTCTTTTTCTTGTCTCATTGCTCTAGCTAAGACTTTCAGCATTACATCAAATGAGAGTGGACACCCTTGTTTCTTTTTTGATGTTGAAATGCATTCAGTTCTCTTAATTCACAATAATCTTGGCTATAAGTTTGTCATATATGCCTTATGTTGTGCTGTGCTTTTTATGCTTCTAACCTTAGTTTTCTTTAGGGCCTTCATCCTGAAGGAATGTTGCACATTGTCGAAAAGCCTTGTCTGTACCTATTGAGATGATCATGCAAGTCTCTCCTTGAGTTTTATTAATGTGCTGTATTATTTTATTGCATGTAGTGGCTTGAGTGAGAAATATCCCCTGTAACTCAGATGTTTGACACTTGGTCCCCAATTCCAGTTGGTGGAGAGTTACAGTTCATTCTCTGCTTCATGCTCGTACTTAAAGATATAAACATTCAGCCTGCTGTTTCTGCTGCTGCTTGCCACCATGTCTTCCCACTGTGATATGTTCTTCTTCTAGACCTGTCAGTCCAAGTACATTTGTAAGATTTGCCTTGGTTATGGTGCTTTATAATGACAACAGAAAAGTATACGTAAGTGTATGTGTGAAGCAATCCTTACATTACTGAAACCAGCTTGATATTTAGGAGTTCTTGAATTTGATTTGCTAGTATTTTGCTGAAAATAACCTGTGTATGTGTGGGTTAGTGTTATTGTAATGCCAGTTTTGTAGAGTGGATTCTTTCCTTCCTATTTTGTGGAACAATCTGAAGATACTGATGCTAGCTCTTCTGGAAAAGCTGGTCAAATTCATTAGTCAGTCTTTTCTCTCCTGGGCTTTTCCTTATTGAGGGATTTTATTACCACTTCAATTTCATTGCTCTTTGTGGATCTGCTTAGTTGTTCATATCTTCTTGATTTAATTTTGGTAAGCTATATATGCCTGTAAATTATCTTTCCTAGATTTTCTAGTTTTTTGAAAATATATATTTTAGCCGTGCAGTGGTGGCCCACAGCTTTAATCCCAGCACTTGGGAGGCAGAGGCAGACAGATCTCTGTGAGTTCAAGGCCAGCCTGGTTGAAAGAGTAAGTTTCAGGACAGGTAGGGCTATTACACAGAGAAACCCTATCACAAAAAACAAAAGCAATACACATGTGTATGTATTTATGTATATAACTTATATATGTCTTTAAAGCAATTTCTAGTGATCCTCTATCAGTGGCATATGTTGTTATTTTAATTTTCTCTAGTTAGATTGACTAGGGTTCTGTCGGTTTTGTTTATTAGAGAACCAACTTCCTCCCTCCCTCCCTCCCTTCTGTGTGTGTGTGTGTGTGTGTGTGTGTGTGTGTGTGTGTGTGTGTGTGTGTGTGTCTCAGACAGATTCTGTCTATGTAGCTCTGGCGGCCTGGAACTCGCTCTGACCTCAAACTCAGATCTACCTACCTCTACTTCCTGAAGTGTTGATATTAATGATGTAGCCACCATACCAGGCAGAGGTAGCTTTTTCTTTGATTGTTTCTATATGTAATTTTTTGTCTCTCTTTCAATAATTTTTACCTTGACTTTCATTATGCATTGATGAATAATGTTCTTATTTTTATAAGACCTCAGAATATTTTAGGCTACTTATTTGTGATTGTTGCAATTTTTCTTTTAGTATAACTACTCATAGCTGTGTATTTTCCTCTTAGAAGAGGAGTAGGTGTATTCTGAAGTTCTGGCAAACTGCTTTCATTTTCATTTAGTTCTGAAAAGCATCTAGCTTCCTTCTTGATTTCTTCCATTAGTACACTTCATTCCAGAAAGTATTGTTCAGTCTCTTGACTTGTGCCTTTTCTTGCTATTGATAATTTATTAGCTTTTCTACTGATTTGATAATGTCTAAGTTGTTATTTTGATTTTTTTTCCTTGTTTGTTTTGTGAACACTTGCTTTGTGAATTAGAATGTATTCTGTTATAAAGAAAGTTTCCTGGACTGCTCAGATTCCATAGCTGTTGTAAGGAAGACTCTAGAGATACCTATTAAGTTAATTTTATCTATGGTGGAGTCTTCATTTGCTCAAATTGTTAATGGTCTTTTGGCAACATTTTGCAGTTTGTTGTGGTGTTTGTCTTTCTCCTGTCTCATTTGATCCACTCCTGTATGGATTTCATCATCTTCTACCTTTGTTTCCCAGTAAATGAACATTCAGGGATTTCTTGTTTTGTGTTCCAGGCACCTCTGGTTTGAACATGGCAGTGTTGTTACTGTCACCCCACTTTCAGTCAGCTCTGGTGGTTTTTCTCCCATTCTCTTCCCTCCTTCCTTTTCCTTCAAGCATGGCTCATGGCTTTTGCCTGTTTTCAGCTATGGACAAAAGGAGATGTCAGAGAAAACTTTGTTATGCACCTACAAACTGCAAGTCTAGAGAGTCTTTCTGTTTTTCCTCATCTTCAGTTCTCAGTTCCTTCTTCCATCCTGTTGTTCATCTGCTCAGACCCCCAATCTTATCCACACAGTAACTGTAGCTTTTAGTGCATGCAAGGCACTTTATATGTATGAACTCAATGTGACCTTTATTATAGTCCATAGAGGGTGATGGGCAGTCTCATTTTATAGATGAGGTGGGAAGAGGCCTAGGCATATATAAATAAACAAAGTGTCAGGCTTCCTATGATCTCAGAAGGAAGGATCTTTCCACCCTTGAAATTACTTATTTGCTGGTGCTGATCTGAGTGCACTGTAGTCTTCTCTAATAAAAAGCTGTAAATCTAGTGAGAAAGTGTCATTAGATTAAAATAAAATTGAGTTTGTGTTTTTGGTGGAGAGTTTTGATTTTTCAAGGAGAACTATTCTCTTAGAACCCTGTAGAAGGTTAGCATTGAAGAACGGCAATGAAAGGTTCATTGGGTCAAATAATGTTTAAAAATATGTTCACCAGTCTCTTAGTGACATAAATGTTCTAGTCCTATTACTCCTCTTGGTGTTCTTTAGTGTATGTTCTTCGTACTTGAGAGTTAAATGTGCTTGTGCTATGTATGAGGCCTAACTTTCCCTAAAAGACTCTGGAAAGCTTCATTCTACTCATAGCTAGTGAATGATTTTCCCTTAAGGGGCAGTAAAACAGGCTTGAGAGATCAGGCTGGAAAAATCTTTGAAAGTATCGGTATTATAAATTAGTGGCAGCATAAAAGCTGTTGATGATGTATTACTTTGGTCAGTGCTTTATATCCTGTTCAGATGGACACAGCTGCTAGTTCTTTGCCTGCCTTCCTCATACCTTTTCTCCTACCTCCACAAGCAGTGTCAAGAAAAGGAATTTAAGATACTCTTCAGTGTTGTACACCATTCCCTTTTTTTGAGTTGTTCAGAGTTTTCTAGTTTTTGTTATTTCTTTCTGTAGTTTATGGAATATTAAATATGTATTCCTATTCATGGGATGTTCTATCAAATGTCAGTATGACTACAGCAGGCTCCCCTTATTTGCCCAAAGTGCATCTCAAGATATCCAGTGGATTCCTGAGACCTCTGATATTATCAAACTCTTATATTTTTTTTTCTTGCACATATACCTGTGAAAAAATCCAATATACTATTGGCACAGTATAGGCTGGAGAAATGGCTCAGCAGTTAAGAGCACTGCCTGCTCTTCCAGAGATCCCTAGTTCAATTCCTAGCAACAACATGGTGACTCATAAACATCTGTAATGAGATTTGGTGCCCTTCTCTGGTCTGTAGGCATGCATGCAGGGAGAACAATGTATACATAATAAATAAATAAATATTGGCACAGTAAATGATAATCATATCAATCATAAAATGTAATAATTATAATACCTTATGGATACCTGAAGCATAGCATTGCAATACTGTTTATGTAATAACATACTATAGAAACATGGCTACTCAGGGTGAAAAGCAGACTCACATCAGTGGTGGGATGGGGAGGACAGCACAGGGTTTTCTCACCTATGCAGATAAACACGTTTGTGACTTAGGAATTGCTTATCACTAGAATACTATTTGTACTGTTATCTGATCACAATGACTGAAAGAAAGCAGAGACTTCTTCCTGTGTCTTTGACAAAATTGCTTTCCTGCACTGTCTTAATTGTTGCCAGTATTTCCTGAGGACAAAGTAATTAATGAGCAGTTGTACTGTATTAGACAGTGGTACACGCTGCATGGAACAAACAGGGAAAAGGGATACTGAGCAAGCTGACTCACCTTACCACAAAGGTTTCTGGTTTGAACAAGGTGGCCTTTACTATTCCTTTTTAGCTTTCTAATTTGAGAAATTTTACTTTCTCAAGATAAACTTTTCTGTCAAGGAGAAAGGGTAGTTTTCCATATATTTCCTAATTTTATGCTCAGTTATAGCAACTGAGCATTTTTTATCAAAGCACACAAGTTTTCTGTGTAAATTAAGAGTGAGTAAAATAGGGCTGAAGAGATGGCTCAGTCATTAAAAGCGTTGACTGCTCTTGTAAAGGACCTGGGTTCAATTTCTAGCACCCAATTGTTGTAGCCCTATTCCCAAGGGATTTGACACCCTCTGTTAGCCTCTGAGGGTACTGCACTCTCTCACACAAAGACATACCTTTGGGGGAAAAAAGTAAATTAATTAAAAGAGAGAGAGGGAGGGAGGGAGAGAGAGAGAGAGAAAGAGAAAGAGAGAAAGGGGGGGGAAACAGGCTCTAGCTACATAGTTATGTTTAAACCCAGATAGGATATCTTTTCCAGGTTCTTAATGATGAATAGAAAATGATCATGAGTTGGAGGTTCAGTGTAAAAGCAGAGAAAGGTGTCTTCCTTCTTAATTCTGTTTCTGTCCTAACTAGGGTGAGGCACCAGTGTTTAATATTAGGATTGTAGTGGTGACAAGCATCTGTTGTTTTACAGGGCGACTGTTGGATCTGTATGGAGCTCATGTCTACCTCGTTCGATAAGTTTTACAAATATGTATATAGTGTGTTAGATGATGTTATTCCAGAAGAGATCTTAGGCAAAATCACTTTAGCAGTAAGTATCTGGCTTTCACACTACTGAATATAACTGTGTGAAGTTGCTGGTATTTCTGAATGCACATGCTTTCGGATTGTTGTTGCCTTCCTAAGAATATCAGTTTTAGTAGGATAAGAGATAAAGTCACTTCTGTGATCTAATTAACACAATAGGTCTGAAGAACACTTTTCAAAATGTGTTTTGTGAATACTACGGTGGTGTTCTCATCCAAATCTAAAAGAACTGTAACAGACTGGTTTAAGTAAAACTAGAAATGGAATTTTTTTTTTGTTTCTCCTGTTGTTTTAACATCTTAAGTAGATTATATCCCTAAACTAATCAGAGTGGCAGAAGTTTGTTTGTTTGTTTGTTTGTTTTTTGAAGCCCTTTAGACAAAATATGTTTTGCTATGGTTTAAGACTAAGGGTTATTCAGTTTAAGCCATTTAAAATGTTGACTTGCAATTTTAGTAACTAGCATTATGATTAATTTGATCCCCTAGTTTTTATCAGAACACCAAAAAGTGAAGAGTTCTCTTGTTAAATATGTGCTGTGGTTTGAAAACTGAATTCACATTCACTTGTTTTCTTGTTCTCATATTTTATTTGATGAGTGTGTATAATTTATTTTACAATGAAAAGGGCAACTTCTTTTTTTTTTTTTTTTTTTTTTTTTTTTTAGAAAACAAAATTAATAAGACATTAGAACCCCTGAGAACCTGAGCCAGAGATACTGGTCTATTTAGTTGGTGTGTGAGCTAAGTCACACTGTGGTTACTTCTGATTTCTTTCAATTTAGTTTATTTGTCAGTTGCTAATTTAGTGATGTCTAAAGTTAATGAAACTGATTTAAAAATATAAATAATTTCTAAACTCTATTTCAGTTGTAAGAGATGTGTGTATCTATTAGACTTTTCAATTTTTGATTAAACCATACTAAGTTACTTTGAGATTGGTAATTCTGTTAAAATTTTGTTCACTGCCAAATTGATTAAATTTAATTTTTTATGAGCTAGCTAAGTTTTAAGACATATGTTCTTTCATATAATACTATAGAGTAAACTGAGTTGAACTAGAAACTTATTCATTGCTTAGATGAATTGTAAATATTGATAATTTGTTTAGTCATCCCTCCATTGTACCAAGCTACTGTTGTCTTGAACTTGCCACTGTTCACAATATTAGAATATAATAGTACTATACAGTAGGTTAGTATTGTAGTACTATACAATAATAGAATAATCATGGTAGCTAATGGCGAGTAAATATTATTTGTGTTGAGCCAAGATTCTATAATATAATTTTCTTGTTAACTCTATGGTAAGTAATATCCCATTTTTACAGATGGTAAATCCGAAAGCATGAAAATAGTAATTTGCTTTGGTATTTACAGTTTTAAGTTGTTGATGGTCATAACCTCTACAGCCTCATTTTATAATCTCACCCTTAACTACAACATAATAGGATGGCTGTGAGATTTGGAAAACAAATACAGAGTTATTTTATCATGTATTGTAATATATATAGTATACACATGAATAACTTATTTAGTTCACGTGTCTTTGTGTTTTTCACACTAGGTGATCACCTTATATATTAAGCACATTTTAAATTACTTTCTGTAAAGTTTCTTGCTAATTAACAGATCAGTGAACACACAGGAAGAGTTTTTCAGATAACACAAGTTGGTTTTTTCTACGCTCCTCATATAATCCCTCTGACCTCCCTCCCTCCCTCCCTCCCTCCCTCCCTCCCTCCCTCCCTCCCTCCCTCCCTTTCTCCCTTTCTTTTTTAACAGCAAATGTGTTGCCCTGTTGTCAAGTTTCTGTTGCCTCCCTTTCTGAAGAAGCCTATGATTTCTAATAATGAATAGACCCAGGACAAGCTAAATTGCTGTTGGCTGAGCAGATATGTCTGATCTGCAGAACTTACTTCAGGGGTTTAGTGAATGAGTGTGAGGAACTGAGGGTTTATGGAAATTATCACCATCATGGGTAGTAGAATCAGTCCAATGAACTGGTACTGTTTTTATGATTGTACAGGTTTGAGGTACAAAATACAATATTTTAGTTATTTAATACATAAGTCATGTTACTGTCTTCTTCATTGTCAGAGAGGGCCATGTAAAGTCAACTTTTTATGTAAAATTATATGCCATCATCATTCAAAATACAGGATAGCATTTGAAATGCTAAGCTGAGAAAGTGTACAGGGGGCTATGGATGCTATTACTCGTTATAGGTTGTTGGGCTATTTTATTAAAAACACAAGATCTTTATCCCACCTCTTCTTTTTCTCCCTAGACTGTGAAAGCACTAAACCACTTAAAAGAAAACTTGAAAATTATTCACAGAGGTGGGTATGGATTGCTTTCTGTGGCATAGAAGTCAGCCTTTTCTCCTTGTATTGGTTAAAACATTTTTTTAATGAAATCTGCCATAATACTATGTAAACTTCCATGGAATAAGTGTGTTTGTGGCCAACAAAAACAAAAAACAAAAAAAAAAAAAAAAAAAAAAAAAAACCCCACAAAACTCAACTAATGAAACAAGCACAGAGAAAAATCCAAATGCTTTATACCCTTAATAATCAGCTTTCTCTCCCCTGGGATTCTTTAAATTTCCATCTAACTTAGTAAGTGTATGGGTTTAAAATTGCATTTTGCTACAGATTATTGATCTTAATTAGAAATAGCTACTGTTGATAATGAAGCCTCTTTGTACAGTTCAAATGTGCCAATAAAAATTAATAAAAGGGTAGCATGAATGGCTAAAAACAATTCACTCATTGCTCAGTGTAATTGATGACTGCATCCAGTCAAAGTGTAAGAGTGATTGTGCAGACATCCAAAGAAGAATCTGAGGAGACAGCACCTTAAGGCACCCCCCCCCATTTCTGGGAATTGAACCCATGTCCTGTGTGTGCTGGACAAGTGCTCCCTACCACTTAACTATATCCCCAGCTCCTGTACGCAAGCATTTTAAAGCCATGGTATTTCTCCTATGAAATGTTTCTTCTCACTTTAGAGCATGTGTTTGTAAAAGAGACTTAAAATTCCCATTATAAAGTGAAACTTCCCTAAAACATGCCCTCTTTGTAAAAGCTTTGATTGCTTGGCATTAATGACCAGCCCAGCTCTCACTACCACCTCTAGACCCAACAGTGTCCTGAATAAAGGATAACTTCCTGGATGGCTGTTTTTAGCAGCAGAGACTTTAAAAAAAAAAAAAAAAAAAAAAAAAAAGTTTGTATTTTCTGTCACATTTGCTAGAATTGTCCCCTGCTCTAAGAGCATAAGACAGACCCTGATAAAGCTGAGACTAGTCAGGGGGCACATTTGGCGGTGTGAATAGAAGCCTTGACAAGATGCAGGTCCTACAGGAAGGATGGGAAGATTAGGAACGGATGTTTTTAAGAGGCGATCTTCTGGCTCTATTATTGTAGGGGAGCTTTTCTGAACTTTTCAAGTTATATATAGTTGTTTTCTGTGTCTAAATTTGTTAAGTTTTCCATGATACTGATAATGAAATAGATAGAAAGATTGTGATAGAAGTAGAGAATTGGCAAGTATAGGGGAATATTTGACAGCTCATTGGCACATGGTAGTGATTATCAGTGAAGAGGAGCTTTGGCTCTCTGCATGCTGACCAAAGGGACAGCAACTCTGTCATAGAAATGAGTCTAAGGGAAAGTTGGTTGGGAGAAACTGGAGAAAGCCACTTAAGATCAGAAAACCCTGAGAGGGGCTGAGAATTGGCTCAGCAGTTAAAAGTACTTGCTGCTTTCCAGAGGACCCAGATTCTGCCCCAGCACCCACAGTGGGTGGCTCATAGGCTCCCATAACTCCAGCTCCAGGATATCTGATGTCTTCTGGCCTCTCAGGGTCTCTCCTCATATACTTGGCCTACACTTGAAAATTGAGGTTCAATAAGGATCAGGAGAAACAAATAGGCCAAATAGATTTTATTCAGGGAGAAATAACTTACAACATAGACAGATGAACACCAGCAGTTTCCTGGTCCCAAGGATGCCTCCAGATGTACTCCTGTCCCGGTGCTACAAGCAAGAGAGCTCCTGGAGCCCCTTCCTCAGACTTAGTTCTCCCAGGAAATGTCTGCCCTTGTCCCCACCCCAAATGGGCGTGGTCTGTGCCACAGGTGCGAACAAAGTGAATATCTCACTACTACACACACACACACACACACACACACACACACACACACACACAAGTAAAAATTAATCTTAAAAATCTTTTAGAAATAATTGCGTTTTTGAGGATAATTTCCTTTAAAATAATTTCATAAATTAAAGCTATACTTAATGAAATTGTTGGTTCATGACTGGTATACCTTATACTTTGTTGTATAATTGTTGACATCTTTTGAAAATAAGCTTAGTATATTATCTGATAAAGATCATACCTTGTTCTGCCTGCAGAAAAGCATGACTTGTCTTTGGGCTTGTTAAATTGTAATGGTGAAAGGCGTTTGACTGTTACATTACAGTTCTAGTCTCTTTTTAGTTTTATGAACAATATTTTAACTCTGTAGCCCAGGTTGGCCTCAAAGTAATCCTCCCCCAACACTGTCACAAGTACTGGGATTACAGGGATGAGACACCATCTTTGGTCTTAGTTATTGATGTATGTTTAAAACTAAGTGAAGTTTTGTTTTTTGTATATTTGAATTTAAGGACTCAAAATTATCAGTAGTTTCAACTGTAGTACTTTAGAGTTGCTTGATTGATGAGTTGTATACTGAATGGCATATATCTCTTGCAGATATCAAACCTTCTAATATTCTTCTGGACAGAAGTGGAAATATTAAGCTCTGTGATTTTGGCATCAGTGGACAGCTTGTGGACTCCATTGCTAAGACAAGAGATGCTGGGTGTAGGCCGTATATGGCAGTAAGTGTGCAGCCAAGTCTCTTGCTTAGCAGTCATCTCATAGAGAGCCTGTGTACTTTGGTGCTAGGTGTAAGGATCTGCCTTCAGCCATGCAGCTTCACTGTGCTAGAATATTTCTCTCCCTAAGCATTTCTAAGCTCGTTTTAACTTCTGAAAACATTATGAAATTATTTTGGTACACTCCCATATACACATTAATCCTCTTGTTTGGTGTTTAGCATTTATAGTCTTTCCTGATTTTTTGTTTTCATTATATCAAACTCACCCAATCAACCATGTGATAAATTGTCCATGTCTTTGTGTTCCCTCTATCTCTTGTACTTTCTTGGCCGTAATAGATAATCAGTATCAGTTGAGAGATGGGTATTCTAGGCCGCTAAAAGATGCTGTTACAAGTTGCAGAAGAGTAGGTACAGGAAGGCAGTTCCTGGCAGAATGCAGTGTATCTTACAGAGTCTGTAGCTGTGCTGTAATAGTGATGTCTTACTTCAGGGATGGATGGAACACAGTGATAACTGCAAAGCTAGAGATTGGCCTTAGGTATTTAGCAGGAAGCAGCTTTCTCCTCAGGAAGACAGATGGACACTATCCTTTCAGAGCTTCTCTGATTACCTTATCCCCATGAATTTGCAAGGCCTGTTCCACAGCCCAGATTTTGGACTCCATTTGATTTGTGTTTGATGTCTATATTTTAATATTTTCCCCCATGGGTGCCAATTCTTTTCCTTTAGTGTCCATGGTCCCTTAGAGGAGACCAGCATGCTCCTGTAAGTGTTGATAAAGTTTGCTGTTGTTTATTGAGCCTTGAGCCTTTTCTGTTAGTCTGTTTCAGTATTGTAGCCATTTTAAATCATCGTTGGTGGGGACATGCATGCCATGGAGCATGTGGAGGTCAGAGGACACCTTAATGGAGTCAGTTATCTCTCTCTACCTTTACTTAGCTTCTAAGAATTGAACTGAGGTTGCCAGTCTCTCTCAACAAGTACCTTTACTCACTGAGCTGTCATGCCTCTAAGAACCTTTTAAAAAATACAGGTTAGCTAAGAGTTGAATAAAGTTTTTCTTTCCTTCATTGCTTCCTTCATGATTGTGTCTATAAGTGCTATGGAAATTTTAAGTAAGAACAATCACAAGGTATATGCTCATTTTTTTTTCTAGCATGCTCTGATGGATGGGCCTGGTACCTCCTCAGATTTCATTTTCATTCAAAACCTTGAATATATTTTCTTCCCTACTTCACTTGGAAGTCAGTTTGCCATCAGTTCTGTTTCTTACCTCAGTGTGTGATCATGGGAAATACAATGCTACCTATTCTTTGCATATATTATCTTGCTGTATATACATGGGCTCCATGTTTGGAAAGTATTGCACATTAAATGTTTCAGTGTTGACACTACTTTAGAATTGTTGCATTGTCAGTACCCTAAGTTTATTAGATTCTTTAATTCATTTTTTCTATAAACAAAAATGTATAAGTGTATGTATGTAGATAAAAAGACATTTTCTTTTAGAATTTAATCTTTGTGAATGTTGTCTCACTTGAGAGATGCAATTTAGAAAATACTATTTTCATGTTAATTAGGAACAAGTGACTTAGCAGATTCAAAGGCAAGAAATAAGAATGATTAGACACATTTGGTAACTGCCATAATTAACACATTCAGTAACTATGCAGCCCAGAGAATAACTGAGCATATTACCTGGCTTAGAGCTGGCTTAGTGCTAAGGTTATCTGGAGCAATTTTCCCTATGACAGTATGATTTTATTGCTGTTCTTGTGATAGTAGAATGCCTAGAGCTGAGTACTTGTAGGGAAAGAATGTTGAACTTCTAATTTTAGAGGCTGAAAGTTGAAGATTGGGTGGCCCTCATCTGTTTGCTTCTGGTGAGAGCCTTTGGCTTTACCACAATATGGCGAAGAAATGGAAAAGGAATTGTCTCTATGCAGAAAGGGCTAAAGGGCCCTGTTTTATAATAACCCATTCCCAGGAGACCTGACTTAAAAGCCCATTGCCAATTCTTTCTGAGTCCCCCCTTGACCAGCTAACCTCTTTAGAGGCCTCACCTCTTAATGGTCATTTTCTAAATGATTATCTGTCTTACTACTGACAACTCCCGGACCAAGCCTCTAGCACCAGAACACTTAGGAACAAAAACAAACCCAAACATTAGCATTAACTGTGTGATGTTCCTTAAGAATTACTTTTGATTCATACAAGTCTTAAAAGATGTAGCTGTGGCCCAGATACAGCAAACTGCTCGAAATTCAGATAACGTTTAAAGAAAGAAGCAGTTTCTGTGTTCTTGTGTAGAGTTGTGGTTTCAAGGCCATAGCAAGAGGAGGTTGCTTGACTCTCCTTGATACATTGTAACATGTCAGAAATGCCTTTTGCTTGTGTTCTTGAAACAAGGTCTTATAAAGCCCATGCTGACTCCAAATTTGAGATCTTTCTGCTTCAACCTCCATTTTGTAAGTACTGGGTTCACCAGAAATGCCTTTGTGTAGTGGCTTTTATAGTTCCCCCCACCCCCTCAGTGTAGAGAAGCTAAAATAGCAGAGGTGGACATCTCCATTAGAAAGTGTTGTTTCTGGAATTAACTCTAGGTTGTTTTGTATTTCTTTGATGAATTGAGTGCTTTTATCTATTCTTAATATGCTAAGACTTGTTGGTATTGCCATTATTACTGGGTTTGAATTTGAGTTTTGTCAGAAGCTAAAGTTATTGACCATATAGATTTTCCCCATTATATGAATGTGTATTCCATTCATGTTACATGTATAAGGCTCTTCCTAAGACAGAGTGTACTGGTCCTGATGCATTAGCTCTTCTGTGGTTGTGTTGGATTTACCTATGTTGCTAGTGAGTTCTGTGCCTTTGTGTAAGGGGGGGCATTGTCTTGTACTGTCTGTGTCAGGTTTTCCTAAGAGCTTTTAGTGGCATCGTGGAATGAGTTGGGAACCTTTTTTTTTTTTTTTTAATTATTTTATTTTATTGTCTTTTGAAATAAAATTTGTATAAGATGGCTTGCAGATTTGAAAGGGATTAGTGAACTCATCTTAATGTGAGCCTGTTTCTGGGAGACTCTCCATTTTTCTTTTAAGAGGGGGTCTTTCACTGTAGCCCAGAATATCCTGGTACCTGCTATACAGCCCAAGCTTACTTTGGACTTATGGTAACCCTCTTGCCTTAGTCTCCCCAGCATTGAGATTATAGGTGTGAGCCATGACACCTAGCTTGTTGGATGGTTTTTAATGACAAATTCATTTATAAAATATACTTCTGTGATTATTTGTATTTCTTTATTGTCTTGATAGGTTTTTATTTTCCTTTTAAAATATATTTTTTATTATTTTTTAGAACTCCATAGTGCTTTGGATCATATCCATGCCTCTGTCTTCTTCCATTTCCTCTCAGACCCACTCTCAAGTCCAATTTGTGCTAACCATATACTCCTAGATTTGCAGCCATCTAGCCACTGGAGTGTGACTGATCTATCTATCACAGGTCTTCAGAAAGACCTGACCTTCTCTCCTGTAGCAGCCACCAGCTGTTACTAGCTCCTCAGTTACACATGCATACTTGGGCACTTCTCCCAACCCCATATCAGAGGGTTTCATTTGTTTGTTGCTTTCAGGTCAATAGGAATTCCCAGCCTTCATTCTTGTTTAGAAATGTCAAGATTTTCTCGTTTTCTTGGTCTGCTTAACTCTGGCCTTCAGTGTGTGATTCTGCTATTGCCCAAGAAGTGCTGTGGCTTTGTTGACTTCTTTTTTTATTTTTTAATTCCTACTTTATTTAGCTTAGTGTCTTTATTACTTCCTGAAGCTCAGTTCCTCGTGTCTGATTTCTTTTCTTTTTTGTGGCTATTGTTGCTGTTGTGTTTGTTTGATGTTTGATTTTCTAGTTTCTTAGTCTGTACATCTGGGTGATGATCCGAGACATCTTCTCCATTATTTGCTTTAAGGAGTCGATTTCGCTCTTAGTAAGACTCTGCCACATTCTGCCAGGCCTAGGTTGGAATCTATTTTTTATGTAGTTCAAAATAGATTTTTCTACTTCTTGAAACTTTTTTGATCCACATGTTACTTGGTATTTTTTTTTCTCTCAAAATATTTGATGATTGAAAGATAAGGTTAGAGTTTGAAGATACTCATGATTTCTAGTTTATCTCATCATCTCAGAATGTGCTATGCATTGTTGCATATATATATATTGTGTGTGTGTGTGTCTTATACTAGTATGGATTAGTGATGCTGGGACAATGTTTTCTACTATGGTTGAATAGTCAGTGTTTCTGTGTAGTGTGTATCATTTTCAATAAAGTAATGATATAACAACAATGTAAATAGCTTTCAGTGAATATTGATGCAGCACAGTACTTGTTTTCAAATTAAAATGCATAGGTCTCCAAATTAGTGGTGTAGTTACAACTATTACACTTGAGATGTTTCTTTTAGTAGCAATTACTGTCAGACTCCAGGAACAACCCATTGTTATCTCTGATACACTCTCATGCTGTTCTTCTGCATCCATTGACACACTTTATAAAAATGTTACCTAATTTCAAGGAAATATTAAAATGTTTCCTTCATGGAAATTACTAAAAACTTTTTTGTTTTGCTGCTCATAGGATGATATTTTACACTATTATGTTTTAATTTGGCTAAAATGATTCATAGGCATACATCTTTAAAGGCAATTTAAGTAATAAGTTTAACCTTATTGAGAAGAATTAAAGGGTGGTCTAGTATAGTTATGTCAGTTCTTGCTTTGCTTTTTGTTTGTTTGTTTGATTGTTTCTAGTACGTTGTGATCAATCTTGACCATTGAGCAAAGGCTGAGAGAATCAAAAAGTTGACATTGTCTTCCTCCTGCTTCTTCCTAGTTACCAATTTTTGTTTCAGCTTTGCCAGGGCCGTGAATTTTAGGGGAGAAATTCAGAAAGACTATAATATAGTTCCCATGTTGGTTAGGGTTATTGCCCTGATGGAACACTATGAGCAAAAGCAAGTAGGTGAGGAAAGGGTGTTTTCACTTCCACATAGCAATTCATCATCCAAGAAGTCAGGATAGGAACTCAAATAGGGCAGGAACTTGGAGGCAGGCGCTGATTCAGAGGCCATGCACAGGAGCTGCTTACTGGCTTGCTCCCCATGGCTTGTTCAGCCTGCTTTCTTCTGAACACAGCACCACCAGTCCAAGGATGGCCACCCATAATGGGCTGTCTCCCTACCCCCAACACTAATTAAGAAAATGCTTTACAGCCAGATCTTATGGAGGTGTTTTGTTTATGTTTGTTTTGTTTACCCCATCTGAGGCTCTCTTCTCTTTGATGACTCTCCCTTGTATTGAGTTGACATATGACTAGCCAGCACAGTCTTTCTGATGTAGCCATTGAGTTCAGTGGAGTCTTTTGTTAGTTGTTTGTTTCTAATACAGTGATGTTTTCCTGTTAACTCCTAGCCTGGCCTTGGGCATGAGTTCTAGGAAGATGCTGAGGTTTTGTCTCCCTTCCCAGCTACTGCTTCCTTTCACCTGTTTCTTTAGGGCTCGCATAATAAATGACTTTGACTTCTCTTTGTTTTCTAGCCTGAAAGAATAGACCCAAGTGCATCACGACAAGGGTATGATGTCCGCTCTGATGTCTGGAGTTTGGGGATCACATTGGTATGTTTCTGTGGGCACAATTTTGTCATAGTGATGTAATAATAAGAGATTAAGAGGTAAAAAATGTTGAAAAGGGATAATGAGAAACTTCATGATTTGTAACAAGCAGAAGCTTTTCATCTTATCTAGAGACAGTATTGAATTTTCATTTAATTTTCAATGTATTTGCTCTAGTTTGGAGTGCTTTAGCAAAGTACTGTAAGTTGGTTATCTTAATAAGTCTGGGAATTTATTTCTTGCATTTCTGGAGACTTCGAAAACCAAGATCAAGGGTTTGACATATTTTGTAGAGTAAGCTGTTGTCGTTGTTGTTTTCACATAGCAAAATGGATGAGGGACATGGCTGTCTAAGGTGTGGCTTGTAAGTGCACTAATCCTATTTGTGAGGCACCAAGAACTCTGATGACCTAGTCACTTCCTCAAGCCCTGTCTCCTTGAGGCCATCACCTTGGGTCTTGGCTTCTACATAAGAACTTTGAGGGAACATAGTCTAAGCTGTACTTTTTATATACTCATTTCTTTTCCAATGTTTATTTTCTTATGTTTACTGTTATTCCAGACCTTACTAAGATTGTTGTTTGTTTCTGGTTTTTGAATAGCTTCTGTAGCTTCTTCTACATTATCTGTAGAGTTTCTGTCCCACATGGATTCTGTGAGGTAGATAATGTATAATGCCTTTTCTTACATTTCCTTCTCATTTCAATTTGAACCAAGATCCCTTAGTTTAGTTTTAGAGCAATGAGCTTTTTGTGCTCACCAGTCTCATTTTTTAAAAATTGGAACTTCTTCCTGAAATCAGAATGGCATGTCCTTGTTACGTTTGGTGAGAACTGTTGACAGACTAATGGATTCTCTCTTCTAAAGAGGCTAACAGTTTGCCTCAGCAGGTCTGCAGCTGTCTCCTCTTTTTCTCGTCATGAAACCAGTTCACAGATTATAGGCAGACCTATTGCTCCCACTTAGGTGATTGCTTGCATGTATTTTAAATTCACAAATACCAGCCTAATACCAAGAGCAGGTATAATGGCCTGAATTTGTAATGCTAGAGCAGCTTCAAGGCTGAGACAGGTGAATCCTTGGGCTTTGCTAAAAGCTAGCCAGTCTAGCCTCCTTGGTGAATTCTTGGTCATAGAGAGACCCAGTGTCAAAACCAAGATTGGTGATGCCTGGGGAACAATATTCAAAGTTACCCCATACCCTCCATGCACCTGTGTGTGAATGAACATACATAAATATATTCATGCGCACCTGTACACACAGATATACTCATGTATACCTACACACACACACACACACACACACACACACACACACACACCTAACCCTAACCCTGTGTACATACACCCAGAGCAATTCCTCACTAAAGAGAAATTTTGTTTTAAAGTTGCTTTTCTTTTGTTTTTGTTGGGGAGGAGGTATGGCAATTATACCAAGGTCTTAGGCATATAGGTGAGAGCTCTACCACTGAATTGCACACCGCATCTGTAAAAAGTTTTAACTGAGAAACAGTTTACACAAGTTCCTTTAAGCTGTTTTAGCAAAGCTTTGTTTAGGAACAAAGTGTTTCAGTTCTCTTAGGATTCTCTTAAAGAAAGTAGTCCCTCACCATAGAAGGCACAGACTTCTTGTCCAGCCTGTCCTCCTGAGCATAGGGAGGTTATTCCTCATAGGTAAGGGTTAGTCTTTCAAAGTGTTCTCAGCTTTACTGAAAAGAAACTTCAGCCAAAGCTGTGGCCCTCCCCTCCCCGATGTGTGTGTGTGTGCATGCGTGCATACATTCGTGCATACATGTGCGTGTGTTAATCTTCTCACTTCCCTTCCCTGTGCACCTGGGTCTGAGTGGAGGTACCAGCAAGCTGACAGCTGTGCTGAGGGGAAAGGGGGATTGCTTTTCCAAGAATATTCACTCTTATGGGCCATTTTCTGTACAAGCTTGGAGCCTTAATCTCATCTATTAGTCTTTGTAAAAGCACATAAAATGGGACTTATGATGCTTGGTGTGATATCTTGGGAAAAGTACACAATTTCTTGGTTTTCATTGAATTTCAGAACAGAGCCAGGGGAATGTTAGACATAATGGTTGTTAGCAAATGTTTAAATGCCATACCATAGTTTTAGGACCATGTGTATTGTGTGCTTTTATGACATTGTTGTGTGCCCTTTATTAGGTCCTTAAGCCTCACTTGGTTTCTTGAATAATTATAAAGTCTGGCTGTGGTTGAAGTAACTATAAGATTTGCATACTGTTTCCTCTGGATTCAGACTGGGTTTTCCTTTGTTAAATGTTCTTTTTACTTTATAAAGGAATCTGGCCACTGTTTGGACTGAGAACTCCTGTGCAGGTGACTACAGAGTGTGAAACTGTTTGCTGTAGAAGTCTAGACTAAACCTCCCAGAGCCTTTCATACAAATGGGTTGGGCCTGCATTATGGAAATATAGTTGGCCCTAGATTCAGAGTTTGGTATTCACTTGTAGTTCAAGTCCTTGAGTCTGGTTGAGGCACACTTCTCTACATTGTCTTTCACCTAGCCTCATGATCCAAGGATTCCTTCCTAACTTGACAGTTTGAGGGAGGGCTTTAAAGGAGTTTGGATGTTTGGATTGACATCACTCTTCCATTAGGGAGTAGTAAATCATTCCTGGTGTCTTTCTGTTTCCTTTTTGTTCTCTTCAGTACGAATTGGCCACAGGCCGATTTCCTTATCCAAAGTGGAATAGTGTATTTGATCAGCTAACACAAGTGGTGAAAGGAGACCCTCCACAACTAAGTAATTCTGAAGAAAGGGAATTCTCCCCCAGTTTCATCAACTTTGTCAACTTGTGGTAAGTACTCAGTCAGGCAATTTAATCAAAATTATATGAATGCCTTATGTAGGGTTATATCACCCCAGCTAGGACTATGGGTCACTGCTCTGTGGAAATTCCAGCCAGCCTAGAGAGGCATCCTCTCCCCGACCCCCACCCCAACCCCCCATCCTATTTTAGGTAGTGGTGAAAAGCAGCTGTGGGTGGTGGAGAAGCAGCTGCTTCCAGCTCACCAGTTTCTGGTATAATTACCAGGTTAAATGTCTAGGTGAGACTGGTAATCTTATCATGATGAGATTGTGCCAGGATCACCTGGATGCTTTTAAAACTCAGTGACTCATCAGACCAGACTTAAACGCATGCATCTCTGCCCCGATAAAGCTAGAGTATAGCTAAGTATGGGTATGAGTTGGAAGGTCAAGCCCAAAGAAGGCATGAACTCCATGCTTGTTCTGTTGTTTACTGTCAGTTCTTTTTATATGTACACGGCTCCTGAGATGGCTCAGTGGATAAAGCACTTGCCTTGCAGTTATGAGGACTGGAACTCTGTTTATCACAGAACCCATTAAAAGCCAGGTGGACAAGATTGCCTGTTTGTAGTTCCAGAGCTTCTACTTGGAGACAGGACAAACTGGCTAAGTAGACAACAGAATCAGTGAGCTCTTCATTCAGAGAGCTTTCCTTAGTAAATGAAGCAGAGTAGACAGTGATTGAGGAAGAAATATGTCAACCTGTGCCCTTAACACATAAATGTGTGCCCATGCTTCCACACATGTGAGCATGTGCCCATATTTGCATGCAGAACACAGGTAAAGAATAAATGTGTATATATAGATATGGCTGGCTTAGTGTTGTATTCTGTTTTAAATAGCATTTTTAGGTTAGCATTAAACAGTTTGGATAATTGCTCATTTTATTTAGTGTAATTTAAAGATAGCTTGTTTACTCTTGAGCATGCTTTTGTTTTTTTTTAAGATTGCTGTCTCTCTGTACTTTGTCTAGGTTTTATAAGACTTCTGTTGCAGGGTCTAACATTGTCCTCTTCCTGGATAATGAGAAAACATTTGTTGACTGGAGTTTTCAAGTGGCTTTCATCTTCCCCGACCAAGTTATGCCTGTTGTGATCTTTCAGAAAGGGAAGAGAATGCCTCAAGAACTAGATAGAAGAAAGCTTGTGAATGACAATTGGCTGGTTTCCTCTCCTCACTGAAAAACAGTCTGTTGTCTACTAATTTGCACTTGTATAATTCCATAAATTTGGCCATTCTGTATATCACATTTTAATGAATTCTTGCTTAACAGACTCTAATGTATATCACAGACTCTTTATTTTTAAATGTTATTTGTCTGTTGTATGCAGCCACACAGGTGCCAGAGCACACATGTGGAGATCAGGGAACAGCTTGTGGGAGTTCACTCTCACCTTCTACCTTGCTTTGTGTGGGAGTTTGCTCTCACCTCCCACCTCGCTTTATGAGGCAGGGTCTCACACTGTACTATGTACTCCAGCCTGGCAGGCTGCTCCACAAACTGTCTCAGTCTCCCATCTCTTGGGAGTATAGGGATTGCATACATAAGCTACTGCATCTGCCTTTTTTTTAATTTTTTTAACCTGAGTTCTAGAGATCTAGATTTAAGGCGGCAGACTTTCAGGGCAGTGCTTTCCCCACTGAGTCATTTCCCTAGCTCTGCTTTGTTCGGATCCCAAGACCTCTCTGTGGTTTTATTTATTTGTGTGTGTGTGTGTGTGTGTGTTGCTTATGTTATATTTTCTCCTTGTTTGCCTCTGTGCCACAGAGGCACAGTGATTGTGGTTTCTTAGTATGTCAAAGTTACTGTCTAAATCATTATATCTACAGGTGAAGGATATCTGTACTGTCCTCCTAAGAGTCTAATATAACGCAGGCTGGCCTTGAACTTTCTGCATAGCCAAAGATGACCTTGTCCTGCCTTTCATCTGTAAAAAGCAAAATAATTGGGTCAATGTGACTTAATCTTAACACTGTTACTTTTATGTCATTTTAGCCTTACGAAGGACGAATCCAAAAGGCCAAAGTATAAAGAGCTTCTGGTGAGTATGGAGTCCATAGTCAGTTCATTAAGCTGCATGGGCCTCCATAGAAAGGCTTGGCCTTGCAGAATGCTTCAGACAACAGTTTTTAATCAGAGGAAACTTGGTGGTTAGTTGTCCTTATAATTTACTAGCTCATTTCTCATAAAAAGAATTTGGTTTTAACATGTTAGAAAATTTTCCTAAAGCATTTCATTAAATAGTCTTAAGTATATGTAACTCCTGTGTAAGAAAAAGTTATTGGAAATTTTATTCATTATGTTTACTTGCCCTCTGCTAATGTACATTGCCTGCCAATTCACATATCTTTGAGAGGTTTTCATTCATATGATGATAAGCAGTCTCCTTTGTATGGTTTTCCTCTGAGCAGAGAAGGAAGTATTATCTAGTCCAATGATGAGGGAATGTTTTAAGAAAAGATTAGATTGCTTATCACATTTGTGGCTTAGAAAGGCTGTAAATCCAGATTTTTGATCAACCCAGCAATGACTATAAAGATACTCAGGTGCTATAGCCAGAGAAATTGTAGGAAAAAGTATTGCTTATAGTGATAAAAGACAAAAAGAAGGCTTGGTGAAGCAGATCCCAGGCTATGGGCTACTACTCTTTTGGAGTAGAAATCAGAAGATTTGAAACTGAAAACTCCTTTGAGCTGCCAATGGGGGAAGTGAAGGCTTGTGATTTACTCTGATGTCCTAAGAGGCTGGCCTGAGATTCCTGTAGTTCTTGGCTCTCACATGGTGTGGTTGCATGCTGAGGAACAAACAACTCTGTTTTCTTCCTCTGTGAATCCTCTCTGTATGTAGGTAAGTTCTAAGACCTCCCTGCCCGGGTGGACCCTCTAGATGGTAACCTAGTATGTCACATCTAGGGTGTCCACATGTGTGCATGTGCATGTGATCCTATCAGTGCCTCTCCTATGCTATACTGAAGGTGTGTGTAGTTGGGAGCCTATAGTTCTGTACCATATAGAAATTGAGAAAGGTTGAATTAGGGCTCTGATATAAATGTTTGAAGCTTTTGTATGTTCAATTTTCTTGCAGAAACATCCCTTTATTTTGATGTATGAAGAACGTACTGTTGAGGTCGCATGCTATGTTTGTAAAATCCTGGATCAGATGCCAGCTACTCCCAGCTCTCCCATGTATGTCGACTGATACGGCTGCTACACCAGACTTTAGAAAAAAGGGCTGAGAGGAAGCAAGACGTAAAGAGTTTTCATCCTGTATCACAGTGTTTTTATTGCTCGCCCAGACACCATGTGCAATAAGATTGGTGTTCGTTTCCATCATGTCTGTATACTTCTGTCACCTAGAATGTGCATCCCTGTAATACCTGACTGATCACAGTGTTAGTGCTGGTCAGAGACCTCATCCTGCTCTTTTGTGGTGAACATATTCATGACGTGTGGAAGTCAGTACGATCAAGTTGTTGACTGTGATTAGATCACACCTTAAATTCATTTCTAGACTCAAAACCTGGAGACACAGCTACTGGAATGGTGTTTTGTCAGACTTCCAAAGCCTGGAAGAACACAGTGATGGATATACTATGTCTGAACATAGAGACTTGGGCTTGAGTGAGAAGAGCTTGCACAGCCAGTGAGACACATTGCCTTCTGGAGCTGGGAGACAAAGGAGGGATTTCCCTTTTTTCACCAAGTGCAATAGATTTCCTGATCTGATATTCTGTTGCTTTACAGTCACAGTTGATGTTTGGAGATCAATGTGCTCAGCCAAATTCCCAATTCAAAATATCATTTCAAATTAGAATGAATCTATTTTTACCAAAACCATGTTGCTTTCAGAGAGGTGAACATTAAAATACTGAGACAGGACAGAATGTGTTCTTTGTCCTTTTCCAGCCCTGCTCTTCACTGGGAAGGTGCAGGAGTCTACCACTTGTAGTGGAAGGGTGCTGCCAACTTGATGCTCTGCCTGCCACCTACTGCCAGGACTGATTGAAGGAAACAGTACTGAGGGCAAAGTTTACAGATGCTTTTGATTCTGGTTTCTTCTCCAGAACAGTTTGTAGCAGCTATAGATTTTCCTTTAGCCCCAAGCCTGATCCTTGAGCCATCATAACTGACTAACAGGGAGAAGTGGCTAGTAGCAATGTGCCTTGATGATGAGATGATTTCCTGAAGGCAGCAAAACACCAAATCACAATTCTTTGCTTCTTGCCAAGTCTTCAGTTTCTAGTTCTTTCCCTTCCCCACAATCTGTTGTCACCACATGACTTTTGCTCAACCCAGCATTTCACCTTGTTTTTCACGTTTGGGATTCTAACATTACCAGCAATGTTACTTACTGAGGATTTATAGCCCTGAATATCTCCTGTGCTGTAATGTTTGAAAAGCTGAGACAGCCAGTCCCAGTTGGTGTGATAGGTAAGAAAGAGGCAGTCTGTTGGAGAGGCACATTTGAGCAGAATGAAGATCTTAAATGGCAGCCTTTCAAATAGGCTTGTCACTTGTCGGGGCCTCTACTAGTTCACTATCTCTCCCAGACGTGGAATTTTACCCACCTCTGCCCTCCCCTCAAAAAAGGCAAAATGTAAAGGAAGCCACTTCATCTCATGTGCTGCCTGTCTTCACTTTCCCATTAGCCAGGCACTGAGCTTCAGGCTTTGCATAGCAGGTAATCAGCACTAGAAGTTGGCCCTTACAGAATCAAGTCCTGGTAGGTATTGCTGTGTCTCCCAGAGTGGCACACATAAATACGATAAAACAATAAAGGGAGAATGGTGCTGTTCAAAGTTACATCCCTAGTCACTGCAGAGTTTAAAAATGGTTCATCTCTTGGTCCACTTGCCTAACCTCCCTCATTCCTACCCCTGGCCACCTAACCCGTAGACTCTCTGAGTACCAAGCCATCGTCCTCCATTGCTCCCCCAGGACTCAAGAGGAATTTGTTTCTCTGCTGTCAGCTTCCTGTCTGGCTCAGTATAGCCTCACTCCGCCATTATGCAAATGGAGATCAAAGCAATTCTGACTGTCCAGGAGCTATCTCACTTTCTGCTGTGTGGGTGACCACATAAAAAGGCAATTTTAGTGTATTAATCATAGATTATTATAAACTATAAACTTAAGGGCAAGGAGTTTATTACAATGTATCTTTATTAAAACAAAAGGGTGTATAGTGTTCACAAACTGTGAAAATAGTGTAAGAACTGTACATTGTGAGCTCTGGTTATTTTTCTCTTGTACCATATGAAAGTATATAAAAAATATCAAAAAAGCTGATGTGCAGGGATTTTGCCTTATTTGTCTGTAACATAACTGCTTCTTGGAGCTTTGGAATATTTTATCCTGTATTCTTGTTTGAATCCCTCCTCTATTTAAGACATAGCCATGGAATCCACATGTTTATGGAATAGTCTACCCTTTGCCTGCAGGTCAGTTGTAATAAATCTAGGATGTGATGATGACATTGTAAGTTGATTTTCTGCAGTCATACCCCGAGAAAGAAAGTCAAGAAAAAATGATTAAATTATCTGTGCATTTCATATGGAGGAGAGTTATCTCCTTCCAGAAGTTTCTGGCTTTTTTCTTATTCCTCTTCTTTCCGTGCTTGTTCCCCGACCACAGAGGTTAAGAGTGTGTCATAGCTTGCTTTGCCTTTCATCAGCTGTGGTGCAGTCTTTTCAAGCCTGTGCTTGGTTGGGTGTCTTGACCTACCTTGCTGCAGAATGCTGCAGGAAGCAGGTGCAGTTCTGCCTGTATCCTAGTTGACAGATGTGACCTTAGGCCCATGTTGCAGCCAGGTTCCTGGTGCTGGGACTCCCAGGTGAGAGGCTAGTGGTAATTTCTCACTGCTACTTGAGAAGAAAGTAGGATGAGGATGTAGTTTAAAAAGAGCTATAGCGGTCATGCCTGGGGAGTTTATCCGGGAGGGGTTAATGAAGGTGAACAGAAGATCACAGGAGCCTGGAAGTTGTGGAAGCATTCCCAGTGCTAAATTGTTCTGTTGTGTTACCACTACCACGGGAGTCAATGTCTCAAAGCCTGCTCATCACACAGTAGTAGTTGAGCATTGTGAGCTGTGTCCTCTGTGTCTGCTCCTCAGCTAAGTGTCAGCTGTTGAGGGAAACACCACCTCAGAGTTTCACATTCCACTTGAGCCCAGGGTGGCAGGAGGGACAGAGTGCACTCTGAGTTGTGTTTGTTCGTCTCTTTGGATTCGGACAGTCTTTGGTAGGACAGTCGCCCTTTCTGGACGGGAGAAATAAAAGGGGTTGGAGATGTTCCAGCTCAGATAACAGTAGTGAATGGGATACCCAGGACTATAAAACAAATGTTAATTTAAAGCCACTGCCTGAGGCAGGCAAGATGGCTCAGTAGATAAAGGAACTCACTACCAAGTCTGATGACCTGAGTTCAGCCTCCAGGACCCACATAGTAGAAAGGGAGAACCAACTCCTGCAAGTTGTTCTCTGACCTCAACAGACATGGCAGTGACACAGGCCCCCTCCAAGCCCCATAATCATAAAAACAAAAACAAACAAACAAAAAAACACCCTAAAAACCACTACTTTTAAAGAAGAGGGCCATTGAAAAGTAGTTAGAGGTCCTGTGCTTGTAAACCTTACCAGGATCTGCTCTCTTGTGGAAATGAGTTGAAGGTGGAGGTTCTGTGGCATGCACACACAGCAGGTATGAGGTTACCTGAGAACTCTGGGTCGTTCTATTAAGTATAGCACTTAGGGGATCAATGTAAAAGATTGCCTTTCACTAGCATGGCGTGGCAGCTGCAGAAGGGGAACTTCAAGCTGTCCTTGGAGTTTGCATTGATAACTACCCAGCTGCTTAGCTACAGCATATAAAACAGAGACACTGGCCATGAGGGCATATTTGGAATCCTGGCTGCCCAGCGTGTTTGGAAGCAGTGGTTTGTCTCTATCTTGACCAGTTGGTAACTGTAAGTGACGTTTTACATCAGACAAGTCAGCCATTGTTTAGTACGGTTAAGCTGTGTGTAAGTCTGAGGCAGCAATACCACCCTTCCCTGTCAACCTCAGAGCTGTGTTCACTTTACATCACTTATAAGAACTGAAAAACCACAGGTTCTGCCCCACAGTTCTTACATATGTATGTAGAAAATTTACAGGCAGACAACAGTCTACATTATGAATGATATAACCATTTAATTGACAATTTAAAATAGCATCATCAGTACTGGGGAGATGGCTCAGTCACTGAAGCCCTTGCTTGCCAAACATGAAGGCCTGAGTTTAACTCTCTAGATCCCATGTTAGAAAAACACTCAAGTGTAGCAGCACACACCTATACTTGGTGCGCTGGAAGGGAGGAGATGAGAGGCAAATGAGTGTGAAGAGTGATTAAGGAAGACATCCTGTGTCAACTTTGGCAGCCTTCACATGTGTGGGCACTTGGCATGTGCGTGCACACACAAAATAGCATAAATGTATTTTAACATATCTGAAAAAAATGTACAGAGCACCAGTGATCTTCATGGGCTCAAGATCTGAGGTGGGCTGGACATGGTGGTACTGAAGGAGGGTAGGAGAGGAGGCTGAAGCAGCAGGATCTTAAGTTCAAGGCCAACCTGGATTATTAGCTAAGAGCCTGTCTCCAGCCATAATGTAAGTGCATCTTATCTGTTAATTTTTTTGAATGCCTGTAACCCACTTTTTGTAGCTGTTCACCTGCATATTCCTGTGTGTGCATGTATTTTAATTTCTCAGAACCTTCTGCAGGCTCTGGACCCTGTCCTTACTGATGGGGCAGCTGCCAGACCTTTACAAAGAACCACATCATTGAATATTCCCACTTAAAGAGTTTGGTCGTTGTGATTCATATCTTTACACGGCTGCCCACTTTCCACTTTTTTAGATGGCATAAATAAAGAGACCACTTCATACTGTCACCTGTGACATCCCTCTGTCCCTGCACCTCTGCTGAGCCCATTCTTTTCCTCATCGAGAACTCTTACTGCTCTTCCTGACAACTTCCTAGTCACAGGGATCTGGACTAACTTCCAGATCCTCTGCACAGCCTCGATGCCTTGACTGCATTGCTTTGCTGTAACTTTGGACTCTGCTGTTTTCCTTTCAAGGGGCCTTTATACTTCAGTCAACTCCACACAGATGTTAACATCAGCTTTACTGTTCCTTTAGAAGTCTGCTGAGGACCTCACAGGGGTGGTCCTTCACTAGTGGATGAGCATGAGGGAATTGGTTTACCTCTTAAAGCTTTGTCTTCCATGAATTGGAATGTTTTCCAGTTTCTTTAAATACTTCATTTCATTCTAAACAGTGTTTTGTAGTGTCAGTTTTTTAGAATTATTTATGCATATTTGTTGATGCCCTTATGAGAAGGATTGTTTTCTTGCCCTAAGTTTCAAACACTGTAAGTCCATGGGTTATAACTTAGATCTGTCACCTTACTGAATTCATTTATCCTAATAGTTTTAAAGTAGATTCTTTCAGGCTGGCTATGTACAAAGTTATGTTACCTACAAATGCAGTTTTGACCCTCCACATCTTTCTGATTTATGTTATTATTCTAACATAGCATTTAAATTTCTGTACTGATTTCTTACCATGCAGATTTTGATTTTTTTTTTCTCACATGGATACTCTGGAATTTAGTAGGATATGTACATTAAATTAATCAACTACAGTTTTACTCTAAATTCCAGTGGTTCCCTAGAACCACTTTGTTACTTTGATATGTCTGTCTCCCTTTCTGCTGGGTGATACACACAGAACCACACAGTCATGTATACACATCCCTCACGAGCACACATGTGAACACACACACACACACACACACACACACACACACACACACACACACATTTCCTAATGCTGGAAGTACTGCTCATTTGCCCATTCCTTTTCAGTAATAGGCTGGGTTGTTTTCATGAAATTTACTTCCTTTCCCTCTGCAATCTCCTCTGTTTTCTGAAATCTTTACTATTTTAATACAGTTACAGTTTTTCTATGGAGATGTAGCAGAAAATATGATTATCACCAGGTACGTACATTACTGGCCATTAATATAAATGTGGTCTTATGCAGCGGAGCTGGATTTTGGTGTTAATCTTACCTCTGCTCCTCCCTCACTTCTCCTTTTGCCTCTAGGAATAGACTGATAGTTTTCAATTTTGCATTTAAGTGGTCAGATCACCTACCAATAATATTTTCTTTTTTTCTTCTTTAGTCATCAGTTTAACTTACTCTGTCTTGTTACTCTGACTATGATTGCCAGTACCACACTGATTGGAAGGGTGATGAGGAAGCCCAGTGAGCAAAAAAAGCCCTGTTCTCCAACATTCAGGAGCTGTGCTATCACTGTTTGTTGGTTGACTCGAGCTGGAAGCAGGAAGCTGTTTCTTCTCTCTTGTGATATACTGGAGGGGTCTCCGGGTTCGCTCTGATGTGATGTCCAGGTTCTTTGTGTCTTGGAGAAAGTGTTGAAGAAAGTATAGCTTTAGTAATGTAAGAATAAAGCATGGGATGTTCTGGAATGTACTCCACAGTTTAGGATAGGAGTGGGACCCAGAAAGCATGTAGCTCAAGACCCCTGAGTTTTTTTTTTTTTTTTTTTTTTTTTTTTTGGTTTTTTTTTTTTTTTTTTTTGGTGTGGGGGTGACAGGATCAATGCCTTAGGTCACTGAAATGTCCCTACATTTCTCACCCTCAGTTGCAAGCCTGTTCCCTCCACTGAAGTGATTTTTTTTTTCTAAGAGATGTAGGGGACCAAGAGCCTCCCTCCTAACTTCTGTAGAAGAGAACATGCAACATAACGAAAACCATATAGAAAAACACACAGTGAAAGACAGTGTGGTCTTACATGTCTATAACCCCAACACTCCAGGTAGAAGCAGGAGTTCAAGATCTCTGGTGCATAGGGAGATGGAAACCAGCATAGGCTGCATGTGACCCTGTCTCAAACAAAACCAGCATCATTCTCCAGGAAAAAGGACTGACAATGCTTCCTCTTGATGTTAGCATGATACTGAAAATCACAGACAGTAATTAGGGAAAGAAAAGGCAACTGTTGAAAATAAGAAATACCACATTTTTATATGATATGATTATATGTACAAGCCTCCAAAAAGTTTCACATAAAAGCTATCAAAGTTGATAACAGCTTATACAATTAGTAGGGTACATAGTAAGTTGCAAGATGGCTCAACACGTGAAGGCATGTGGTCACCAAGCCTGATGACTTGAGTTCATTCCCTAGAATCTGTGTGGTGGAAGAGAGAGCATAGTGGAGACCAACTGCCCTGGCCTTCAGAGATCTGCCTGTCTCTGCCTCCCAAGAGCTGGGAATAAAGGCGTGTATCACCCACCCAGCTAATCTGCACACTTTTGAAGGAACTACTTAGTTTTACGAACCCTAGATATTTCCATTACAGTTTTCTCTAATTTGGGGGCACTCTCCCCTAAATATTACA